AGCTGAGCCAGCCAGGGCCGCCTCCACGGGGCCTCACACACGGGGAGCTCTAGTGGGGCTGTTTCCACAGTGATGGCTCTAGAACTAGCTCCAGGCTGAGGGGCCTAGTCAAACCCCAAGTCTGCAGTCCCAGAGCCTCCGGCTTCCTCCCGTCCCATTCTGGGGGCTGCCTGGCCTCAGGAGACCTGCCTGGTCCTAAATCAAGAACCAGATTCACTTGGCCCAAGGATGTGCAGAGGGCACATATGGCCAGCAGGGAAACCTTGGGCCAAGATCCTGAAGAGGATGCGTAAGGGGGGCACGGGTGAGGGGCTTGTCCTTAGCCTCCACTTGGCTTCTATCACTCAGGACTCCCAGGGATGCCAACCCTACTCTGCCCACCTCCCTCTGTCCACACCACTGACTCTAGCTAGCCTTTGCTGCTCCACCCCTCAGGCAGAGTCCTCTCCTACACATGCTGAGCACCTGACCCGGCCCCCTCCTAATACTAATACGTGCAGGTCCTCTGCACTCCTCCTCCTCCGCATCCTCCTCCTCCTCCTCCTCCTCCTCCTCCAGTGTCCCTGAGCCAATGGTCCAGGTGCCCATCTTAAAGAGGAGTGAACAGGGAGGTGAGCAGCTCTATGCCTCAGTTTCCTTCACTACAAAACAAGGTGCTGACCAAGGTGATCTAAGGTCCTTCAGTGCCCTGACTTTCTCTGATCTATATTCTGTGATTTCCGCCCCTGGGATATTCTATATCCCCCTCCAGCTTCATTCTGTGTGCTAAGGATCCTCCCAGATTTGTGTTTCATGTTCTAAGGTTCCTCCCAGCTCTGACATTCTAGGTTCTAAGGTTCTTCCCAGCTCTGACATTTTAGGTTTTAAGGTCCTGTCCGGCTCTGATGGTCTGTGTTCTAAGGTCCTGTCTAGCTCTGCTGGTCTGTGTTCTAAGGTCCTGTCCAGCTCTGACAGTCTAGGTTCTAAGGTCCTGTCCAGCTGTGACATTCTAGTTTCTAAAGTCCTGTCTAGCTCTGATGGTTTGCGTTCTAAGGTCCTGTCCAGCTCTGACATTCTAGGTTTTAAGGTCCTATCCAGCTCTGCCGGTCTGTGTTCTAAGGTCCTGTCCAGCTCTGACATTCTAGGTTCTAAGGTCCTGTCCAGCTGTGACATTCTAGTTTCTAAAGTCCTGTCTAGCTCTGATGGTTTGCGTTCTAAGGTCCTGTCCAGCTCTGACATTCTAGGTTTTAAGGTCCTATCCAGCTCTGCTGGTCTGTGTTCTAAGGTCCTGTCCAGCTCTGACATTCTAGGTTCTAAGGTTCTGTCTAGCTGTGACATTCTAGTTTCTAAAGTCCTGTCCAGCTCTGGTGGTCTGTGTTCTAAGGTCCTGTCCAGCTGTGACGATCCGTGTTCTAAGGTGCCTCTTAGCTCTGACTTTCTCTAAGTCAATACCTCCGGATCCCAGGCAGCCCAAGAGCTCCTATGCCCAGGCTACAGAGCCAGGAGGGCAGGCTAAGGTCTCCCAACTCCCCTGTCTGGCGGGCTGGCTTCCTCTCCCTGTCCCCAGCTCATTCACTCACCACAAGGTCACCTCTCCCTCTCTCCTGGCTACCTCAGCACTGCCTGAGCCTGCCCACTGCAACACTGGCCCCTACAGGCCAACTGAGGCCCTGCCCAGCCTCTGGGAGGGAGGGCTGGAGGGAGTCCGAGCTAGGAGGAAGGAGGGCAGAGGAGAGAAAGCTTGGGAGAAGAGAGCAGAGGGGGAATGTGAGTGAAGAACACAGGGCATGAGGGGAGGCACGTGGGAAGGGGGGGGACATGGCTGTAGGCCAGAGAAGAGAGAACATGAGAAATAGAGAGGGCATCGGGTGTGGTCTAAGATGCCAGGGTTGGGTTGGTGAAGGTACCCACTGTGCCTTTCCTCCAGAGTTCCTTGCTCCACACCCTAGGACCCATGGCTGAGGCAAAACCCCTTATCTAGGCCTAGTCTTCCTTAGCTGATGGTGGGTCAGGGTTGAAGGAAGGGACTGGTTTCTCTCCTGTTCTCTTATGTCTGATCCCCATCTGAGGTTCACTCCCTGACACTTCAAGGCCCTGCCTGCTGTGGGACCCTCAAGAAAAATAGGGGAGATCACCATGGGGCAGGAGCTCAGGCCAATCCCCATTTAACCCTGGCCAGAGGGTGAGTGGCTCCCTCCCGGGCTGTGTCCTGGGCCATACAAGGGAATGATTCCAAAGATAAACCAAAATGAAACTGGTAGGCTGAGATGGGGGAGAAGGTAATGGTGCTCCCGGGCTAGGGAGAGGGAGTGCAGCCACAGGTCCCCAGAGAGGATTGGGCACAAATGGGGCCCAGGTCACATGGAGGATGAGTTTGCAGGTATCATTCATGCTTGGTGCCCCTGCTGGGGGCAAGGGCAGGGGCACAGATAGGCAGTGATGGAAGGCAGACTGCAGTCTGCGAGCCAAGATCGGAGGTGGCGTTTAGGCGAGGGGCGTTAGGAGGGCAAGGAGGGAGACAGAAGGATAGCTCACAGCCATTCTGCAAAGGGGTAATGATTTGTGCCAAGGGGAGAGGGAGTCTATGCCAGAGCCAGGACTGGTTTGGAAGGGGGTGAGAGCCAGTGAGTGATTTATGGAGCCCAGAGCTTCTGAAGCCCAGAAAGAAGCGCCTCCGCCCTGTTCCAGTGTGCCAGGCAGGGACCCTGATCAAGCCCAATTCCCTGGGCAGGGGAGGAAACATGCTCCCCTCCACCCATGCCATTCTCTGCTGGGATGACTGGCCCACCAAGCAGGGCAGAGTGACTCTGTTCTGAGCAAGTCTCACAGCTGCCTGGAGAGTCTGGGATCTCTGGGCAGGATAGACATACATATGCCTTGATGCCAGGATAGAGAGGACAGAAGAGGTGCCAGGGAAGCCACCAGGGAGAACTAGGGGTGGCGGGAGCTTTGCTGCATACTTCCTGCACCTCAGTCTGGGCTCCCTCTGGGCACAGACACCAGGTAGACACCAGGAAAGGAGAAGATGCCTGGGCACAAGTGACATCATCAAACCGAGGTAAAGGAGGGCCAAGGGGACCTCTCTGCTCCTCCTGGGGCAGAAGAAGGTCAGTTCTCTCCTAGTGGATTTTTCTCTCTCCCTGAGACCCACAAGTGGTCTCAGAACCAAGAGAATTGACATCTTTTGGGGGAGGGACTTTACATCCAAGTAGGGATTCTGTCCCCTCTGCTAAGACTAAAGCAGACGGGCTAAGGGAAGGCTGAGCTTGCTACAGTTATCTCCTCCCATCCTGCTCTGGGATGTGGACATAGGAATACAAAAATGCAATGAGGCTTCTCCTGCTGGGAGCAGGGCAGACACCAGGAGGCTAGAGATGACATATAGCTAGGCACTGTCCCTCTTCCACCACTAAATCCCAAATGAGCTGCCCTTAGAGAAGCTTTGAGATCCTTCAGCCTCTACTTAAGAGAGACCTCTTGAGATTCCTATAGACCCAGGACTGGGGCTGTCCCAGCTTCTGCCCCCCTCTCCTTATCCTCTGGGATGGTCACTCCCACTAGGTCTGCAAGGAAATAAAGAACCCACTTCTCAAGGAAGGTGCCTAGAGCTGTGGACTGCTAGTGCCTGAGGGCTGGAGGAACATAAAGAGAAGTGGCCATGCCCTCATCATCCTGCCATCGGACAGGAGCCAGATTCCGTCTTTGGGGAGGGGGTAGAAGGACCAAGAGGGTAGCCACAGGTGGGAAGCAGGATGGCAGAGCCCAGGCAAGAAAGAGATGAGATTTCTCTGCTGCTGGGATGTCAGCTAGGTAGGGCATAAGAAGGCACCTCTGGGGCAATGAATAGGCAGTGAGAACATCCCTCCCCAATGCACACACTCACACACACACACACACACACACACACACACACACACACACACACACACACGCACACACCAGAAGCAAGAGTGTAGTGAGGCTCTCAGTCCCAGACTGGCAAAAGGCCAGAAGGACATTTCTTTGATAAGGATGAAAAGCCAATCTACATAAAGTGCCAGTTATTGTTATTAGCCCTGGCACCTCTCAGCTCACCCCAGTGCCCTGGCCAGCCTTCCAGGCCACCTTCTTCCTCAGGCACTGTCCCTAGCAGCTCTTCCCTCTGTATAGCCCCTTTTCCATTACCTGTCCCCCTCCCCCATATACTCACAAAAATTCACAGCACAGCCCCCCGGGTGTGATCCAGAAGCCAATTCCCTCTGCTCTCTCACAGACACCCTTCCTATCCCCTATCGCCAGCCCCGGCGGCTGGCTGCGGGTACCAGCTGCGGGCAGTTTCCCAGCCGGGAGTTGGGTGCCACTGAGGGGAGCAGCTGGCCTCCCAGGGAGCCTCTGGTCTCCAAAAGGCAGCTGCTCTTCACACTGCCACACACGCTGTCCTTGGACCACTGGCCGGGAGGTCCTTTCAGGAGACCGCGAGGCTGGCATGGGGTAGCTAGACTACCAGTAACCTTTGGGGGAGGGGGATAGGTAGGAAAAGAGAGTGAAGAGAGGAATGAGAGGGAAAACTGGGGTCAGGGCTACTCTGGCCAGGTGTCCACCTCCAGCTCCCACGTCCCTCTGAAGGCTGGGGCAGCCTCCCTCCCAAAGAATAATCCTCAGGGAATCAAGTCCCAGCAGGACACGCAGCCCCTGGCTAGCCCGCAGCAGCCCGAAGAGCTGGAGCCCGCGAGGCGCTGGCTCCGGACTTACTGGCCGAACAGGCGGGCACAGAGAGCGAGGGCTGAGATCTGAGCCCTCCAAGCGAGCACCAGTGGGGCGCGGGAAGGATCGGGGGGGGGGGGCGGGAAGGGTAGAAAGGGGGCGCGGAAAGGGTAGAGAGGGGCGCAAGGAAAGGGAGGAGAGGGGCGCACGAGAAAGGTGGAGAGGGAGCTCCGCAAGCACCCCCCCAACCTCCGCAAACGCCGGCACCCTCGCGCCGCCTCCCAGCTACTGCGGGGCACAGCCCTAGTCTCCACCCGTCTTTCCCCTCCCCAGCTTACCTGGGCCGCCGGCTGTCACCGGGTCCCGGTACATGGTCCCGTCCTGGGCGCTCTCCCCCTTCCCGCCCTCCGGGGTTCAGTGCAGCCCCCGGCCCCGGCTCGCTGCCTCGCCCGTGGCTCTCCGCCGGCTCATGGGGCGCCGCCGCCGCCGCCGCTGTCCTCGCTGTGCCCGCTGCCTCTGCTGGCCACGCTGTCCCCGCTGTCCCCGCCGCCGCCACCGCCGCCGCCGCCGCTGCTGCTGCGGGGCATGGGCTGGGGGCGAGCCCGGGCCCGGCGGGGCGGGGGCCGCCCGCTGAGCGCTGGGCTGATCTCGGGGCGGGCGGGACCGTCAGTGGGCGGGGGCCACCCGGAGCTGAGAGCGGAGCGCGGAGCACGCCGCCGCCGCTGCCTCCCAGGGCCAATGCGTGCGTGGGGCTGGGGGAGTGAGCGCGTGGGTGTGTGTGTGTGTGTGTGTGTGTGTGTGTGTGTGTGCGCGAGCACGCGGGTGCGAGCGTGTGTGTGTGCGCGTGTGTGCGCGCGCGGTGTGTGTGGACGGCAGGCAGGCTGGCTGGCAGGGAGGGGGAACTGGCAGTGCGCGCGCGCGCCCCGGTCCCCCCACCTCGGCCACCACCGCCACTGCCACCGCCGCGGCTCCTGAGCCCGCGGTCCCCGCTGCCCGCTGCCGGCTGCCTGGGGCACTGCAGCCTGCGCCCGCTGCCTGGGGACCCGGGCACCCCGAGGGCAACGCCCGCAGCCCGCCCCGAGCCCTCCGTCCCCCGCCCCATCCTATCCCTCCGCCCCCCGGGGGAGGGCCCCCCTCCTCCCACCAGCACGGGGTCCCCTCCTCCTCCCCCCGCACGGTCTCGGGGTAGGGGCCCCTCCGGCGGGCTGGGTGGCTGGGTCGGAACCTCGCTCCAGGGTTCCCCTTGATTCCTTGGGGTGGGACGGTCATGAATCCAGGCCAGGTTTTCCACATAGTAGCGGAGCGGAGAGCGTCAGCTCCAGGCTTGCCACCACCGCGGTCCCGGGGAACCAGCCCCGTGCTTGGAGAAACCAGGAGTGGATCCGTGGCAGAATGGAGTCAGAAATCTGGCCTGGGCTGGGGGGCTATTCCGTAATCTTTGAGGCCACTGACCCCTCTGTCTTCTGGCTCATCCTAGCCCCCAGGTGGATGGGCCATTTCTCCCTGGACGGCGCTGGCTCTAGTGCCAGAGGACCTGACTTCAAACCGTGCTCCTGACACTACCTGTGTGACCTTGGCAAGTCATTTTAACCTCTCTGGGCCTCAGTTTCCTCGTCTGTAAAATGAAGGAGTTGAACTTATGGCCTCTGAGGTTCCTTCCAGATATAAATCAACGAGCTTATGAATGGGCAAGGGCAGAGTGCCAAGCCAGAGTCCCCTTCCCCAACTGAGGGAGTCTGGTGGAATGGAAGAAATCTAGGCTTAGAGACAGAATTTCGATTTGAATCCAGGCCCAGCTGCTAGTCACGTGACTTTAGGAAAGCCGTTTCCCTCACCTGTAAAATGAAGGGATTGGACTTCCGGACATAAGCACTGGATGGTCTCTAAGGCCACTTCCAATTTTGAATAATATGAACCTCTGCTGAGGGATGTCACTCCACATTCCTACTCCTACCCCTCAGAACAGAGACAGAGACACAGAGATGCCTTCTCACCCTCACTCAATCCTGAGGTCTTTAGAGCTCTAGAACCCTCTTTCTTGACCCTCCAGTCTCCCCAGCCCCTGACCTCTAAAAGCTTCAACCGAGGATCCCCCACCTCTCTCCTACCCCTATCCCTCACACACAGCCCAGTCTCTGCACCCCTTCTTCCCTCTTGCTCTCTCTTTCTCGCTTCCCCCACATTTCTAGCAGCATACAGGTCTGGATAATCTGGGGGGGGTGGAGTGGAGAACAGCTCTTGGGAAGAATGGGGCTCAAGGTCCTAGGAAATCCTCAGAAACACCCACAAGCCCACCTACACACACAGTCACATACTGGTTTGTTGGTTTGGTTTTTTCGGCCTTTCTTTGTATCCCCAGCACTGGCACCATGCCTGGCACATAGTAGGTGCTTAACAAATGCTTATTGACTAATTCTACATTTGACTTACTTCCAGATAGGCACAAAGGCCCCTCCCACAAGCAGAAGAGACCCCCTCCCAGCCCTAGAATTTCCACCTCCCACCCCCATCACATACGCATACAATTGCTCTTCCCCTTGCCCACATACACAACACCTCCAGAGGGTGGAAACGAGAGCAAAATCACAGACACACGACTCCCAGACCTCCCAGCCTTTCAACAGGCACAATGACTATGGAATCCAGAGTAAAAGATTTCCCCACCCACTCCTGGATCTACACCTCCCTTTATATTGCCCACCCACCGCAAGCCACACCTACACACAGCCTCTGGCTGGGACACCCCTCCATATTTCCAACTCTATTACCCCCATACGCACCCTCACAGTCTCTCCATGTTCCATTCCCACCCCCCACTCCACACACACACACACACACACACACACACACACACACAAACACAGACACACACATATTCACCCACAGCTTTTCCGGTTGAGAAACAGATAAGGAAGTCAAGGAAATTCCCCAAGCATATCTCTGGGGAGACTGCATCCGCAAAGGACATATTTCCTTGGGTGGAATGTTCTAATTAAGTAATAAGAAAGGGAGACTGGAGATCTGCCCCACTGGGGACCCCAGTTCCCAAACATCTAGACTCTTCATTCCACTTGAAAAGTCATGAGACCATCATCACTTTAGAGCTGGAAGGGACCCCAGGGGTTACTGACTCCAACTCCTTCATTATGCAGAGAAATTATGTGACTTGCCCAGCTCACACAGGGCTAATGTGGGGTCTCTAGCTATCCACCCAAAGTCTATCCAATCCACTCTAAGAACTTCTCTGCCATCACCCCCCATCCCCGGGGCTAGGTCCACCTCCCAAAGTAAATTCTCAGGAAGCCACATTTATAGGAAGCACCTCGAAGGACTCCCAGGCACTGTTGGGTTATGCCTCTGTCCAAGGTCCCTTGCCAGACAATCTAGAGGGAAGGGATGGGATACCAAGACGGATGATATCCTGGCTTCCAGGAAGCCTTCCCCTGTCAGGGTCCCCAGGTGAAAGAGATATCTCTTTCCTCAAATTTCTCATAGCACTTTCCCTTAGCTCTTCACCCCTATCACATTCTACCTTGTATCATATTTATTAATGTACCCCACCTCCCTCCCCCCAACTACAGACATCCCGACGACAGAGGCCAGGCTGGTTTTTTTATCGTTTTGTCCCCAGTACCAAGCACAAGGCCTTCCACAGATTCGATAATAATAACAACAATAAATAATAATGATTGATGATAATTTATATATATTTATATATAATTAAGATTTTCAAAGTATCTTACATATTCCTTTGGTCCTCAAAACAACCCATTATGTAATTGTAGACTTAGTGTTAGAACTTTGGAGAATATCTGGCCCAGCCTTCTCACTTTACAGATGAGGAAACTGAGGCCCAGAGTAGTAGCATGACTTGTCTGTGGCCATACAAGTAGAGATGCCAAGCACTCTATTACACCACAGTGCCCTGAGGTAAGTGCTACAAATATCATCCCTTTTCTACAAATGAGTAAACTGAGGCTACAGAGGTGAAGTGACTTGCCCAGGGGCTCCTAATTGTCTGAAGTGGAATGTGAATCTAGCCATTCTAATATCCCAGCCTGGCACTCTCATCCCTTACTGCCTCTCGATAATGCATGGGCACAGTTAGGTGGTGCAGTGGATAGAGCACCGGCTCTGAAGTCAGGAGGACCTGAGTTCAAATCCAGACTCAGACCAAACACTTGACACTTAGCTGTGTGACCCTGGGCAAGTCACTTAACCCCAATTGCCTAAAAAGAATAAAAAGAAAAAAGATAATGCATGCTGACGAACTGAACTGCCTAAAGCCTGGTCCATGCCCTCATCTAGCTCACCACAGGGCAAAGATGTTCAGACCGAGACGCAAATTAGCACCCGATAAGTGCATAGGTGAAATCCAAAGGGAGACTTCTGGCCAGTGGCAGGAGGCGAGAGAAGAGAAGATTGTCAAGGACTTCTTGGAGAAGCACCCCAAGAAAAAGGCCCTGGATTCAGAAAACTTGTGTTCCAATTCGGCCCCTCTCGTCCAGCAGGTCACTTCATCCCTCTGGGCCTCAGTTTCCCTCTCTTTGAAATGAAGGGGTTGGACTAGATGACCTCTGAACGCCCTTCCACCTCTACATCTAGGAATCCATTAGAAGATAAACTCCTTGAGGGCAGAGAAGACCCCCAGTGCTTAGCACAGTGCCAGACACATAAGAATAAATGCTTAAAAGATGTTTCTTGACTGACTAACTTATCCCCTTCAACCGAAGGGGAAGAAAGACTTCAGCAGCTAAATATGGCGGATGTGGGATCTCTCCCAGCATCTCAGGGGACATTTACCCTGTCTCTCTTCCCACCCCCAGGTATCCGTCCATGTTTTTGAGAACCAGGGGACCTAAGAGGCCTGATCTGAATTCTGCTCCAGCCATTTCTAGCCCTATGGCCCCAAGGATACCACTCAAACCTCTCTGGGCTTCAGTTTCCTCATGTGCGACATGAGGAGAGCCAGAATCAGCACGCTTCCAGATCCCATAGCTCTCAGTCTATGATCTTGTGGCCCATCAATTCCATTCAACAGAACTTTACTGAGCACTGAATAGTCTGAGGGAAGCTACTTCCCATCTCTGGACCTCAGTTTTCCCATCTGTACAGGGAGAGAATAGGAGAAGTTGACTTGTAAAGATTCTTTCATTTCAGATATCCCATGAGTCAATGGGTAGAAGCTAAAGACAAGAAGATGTAGGCTTGATGATAGGGAAATTCTAAGAACTCTAGCTGCTCCAAAATGGGAATGAGCTGCCTAAGATGGTGGATTCACCCACAGTGGAGGCCTCTGAGTGAAGGCTGGATAAACACTTCTTGGGGGTGACAGAAGAAGGATTCAAGAGCCTCAAGGAAGTTCCTTCCTCTCTTGTTGCTGGATTCCCAGATTCCAGTGCCAGGAAGTTCCTCCTTCCATCTAATCTCCAACCTTCCTGCTAGAGGCTTACTTTAAATCAGTCAATCAATCAG